AACCTTAATCCTAGGACTAATGGATTGAATCCAGTCTGGGTATGTTGTGGTATATTGCAGATTCATGGAATAAAGCTTTTCAACTTTGGTTAGAATTAGTTTACTGAATAGAATAACCCTCTTTCCTGCTGTGTACCAGAATTGGCCAAGGGGAAAGAAAAGGTCTTTTTTTTCTATCATGGATTTAACTCATATTTATTTCGTTTCCTGTTAGTGAACTTTACTTTGAGGAAAACAATATAAATTAATGAAACAGAATTATCGTTCGATGTGAGCATTTTTTCATGGACTATTTTCATAGACCTATAATCTGTAAGTATTTAAATGACCTGTACTCCTTTTTCCAGGCAACATATAATTACCTTTTACTATTGAAAATATTATTTTACGAACATCGTAAGCATCCAGTGGATTAATCGTAGACTTACCCATAAATGCAGCATGATTCGCAAATTCATCGGATCTTGGGGCTTGATTCCTAAATTCATGGCTGATACTTGCGACTTACCAGTTTGATTTGTAAAACTGTCCAATTTAACAGTATGATCTTAATGAAAATTAAGATGCAATATCTGAAGGTCTATTGGATTTTTCTTCCCAAAAGTTGTCGTGATATATTAAAACTATTCCACATATGATAGACAAATTTCATATGTTAATACCTATAAAATATTCCAAACATCTGTTGAATATCAAACATCTGTGTTATCCCTTTGGATCATATTTATTTTTGACATATGCTGCTATTATTGTTTTGATAAATATAATGATGACTTATCTGAAAAAAAAAATGAATATTAGCTCAGAGCGCCTCTGAATATTTCGTTTTTGTATTAATTCTTATTGATACGATTCGTGAAACCTAAAGAACAGTAAACCATCTCTCTTGGTTTTAATTGCAGATAGATTTTGCTGCTGAGTTTGTAAGAATGGAAAAAAGCCGATCTACTTACGCCAATCATCGCGATTCCTAGCCAACAATCCTCGTATAATCCGACTGCTTGCCTCTATTCTCTCCCAGGCTGGATATTTCATCTATGTTTTTAATCTCGTTCTCTTTCTTTTCTGTGGGTTTTTCCTCTAGTAATTTCCTAGATTCTCTTTCTCCATTCATCCTCCATAAAATGACCGAACCATTTGAGGTTTTCTTCTCCACGGTTTCCAACATTGTTGACACCTAGACATCTTCTCAAATTCGTTTGTTTCGGATGCAATCTCTTCTTGTTTGACCAGCTACTCTTCTTAGGTACTGCATTTAGTCGTCTTTTATGCCTGTCTAGTGAGACGCAACTCTCACTAACGGTTTTTCTACGACAGTATTGCAGATCTGACGGAGTATTATCCTGAAATACCAGCCACTAAAATGTATCTTGTACTTCGGAGGGAAAGGAGGAAGATAGGGAAAACAGCGATGTTTAATCCGGAAATCATATATAGAGTTTGAATATTCAGCCTATATCCGTTCTGAAGATTCCTTCATTGCCTAATCATTTGAAGGGATAGCCTTTAACCAAGCTGAATTTTTGGACATGCTGAAATTTTTTACCTACGCATTATCAAATTCTTTCTTCTCTTCACACTCTTTTTCTCTTCCTAGTCTCTTATTCTTATCTCAGATTAACTTAAACAATATGCGTACAGGTGTATCTGTTTGTGGTGATCTTCACGAAGGTCTTCGTCGTGCTTAAGGACGGACTTCACGTACTTCTACCTGGTTTGATCACGTTTTTTCCTCCAATTCAGGATTGATTTTTTGATTAAAGGGAACAGTTACTGGACGATTCTATTGCTTCATGGTCAAATCTTGACTCTAACTCTGTTAAGCAAACAGGCGTGGAAACGATCCTTTAATTCAAATTAAAAATTGCCTTCGGCACTTATTGTATATTCGGAACTATTAGGTACTGTATTATGGTGAACATATTGGGATGCAAAGAAAAATCCTTCTGACTAGATATTGCACGTTCATCGAAATATCGGAAGAATCAACATTAAAAAATAATATGTGAAACGCGTTTTACGATACGATCACCATATTACCAAGCAATCCTTCCAAAGACTTTACAAGTCCATATTTTTTTTTTTAACTGGCTTATGTTAATATATCATGTGTTAATATAACATATGTTAATATAACATATGTTAATATGGTTCGATTGAACCAATCAATTAAAATTCTATCATATGGGAAGCTATATTAATGGCTGCATATGGTAATTTAATATGTTATTATATATATATATATATATATATATATATATATATATATATACATATATATTATTGAAATTTACAACTGTATTAAATGATATATACAACAAGTAAATATGAAAAGATATATTTTTAAAACTTAAACTAATTGAATGAAATGAATGAAAGTAGGTCATTTAAAATTATTAATCTAATTAATTAAAAGTAATTATGCTTTAAAGTTTAAATTAAAAGAATTGGGACCTTTATTACTTTATAGACTCCAAAGTTTCAAATTCCGTTCAACAGTACATTTAGATGTCATTCACTCCAATAATCTATTTCAAGCGTCTCCAAACTATGGCCCGCCAGAACCTCCAATCAGGCTCGCGAAAGCTTCTATGACTTCATGAATAAATATTTTTAAAAAATATGTAAAAATACAAAATTTAGTAAATCACTGAAACAAGAGGTTACTACAATGTTCAATGCACTAGTTTTTTTCTATTAGAAACCTCGTATCACCACTAAAGTATCATTTATAGAACAACTTGTTTTTACCACAATCTATGGCCCGCGGGACTTAGTGGAGGTATATATATATATATATATATATATATATATATATATATATATATATATATATATATATATTCTATATTATTGGCGCAATCATCCTCTGTTAGACCTCAAGCTGTCACATCCTCTATGATGTCCTCTATCTACAGAGCTTCTGAGGTCTTCCATGTCTTCGGCTTCCCTCTGAGCGTTGCTTAAAAATTCTTAGGGACCAACTCGTTTCATGCATTCTCATGTGTTCGGACCGTATTAACCATTTTCGCTGATTTTAGAATGAGCCACTACTCTTAACATGTATATACCAAAGTTTACTTTCTGAAATCCATCTCTAGAGACAGCCATTTATTTTCATATGGCTTTACCATCGTTCATGACTCTGACCCAGAGTTGTGAATTGTGCCAATAAAGAAAGGGTAGTGTACCCTTTTTCTTTTCTTATTATTGTTAGGAGAAACACTTTTTTGACCCACAATACTCTTTTAGAAGACCTTTTGTCTTTTGGTACTTATTCCAGACCACTTAGGAACATCCCTGTTCAAGCCCTTTGTGATTAGGATAGGATCTGTAAATCTTCCTGTCATCAGACCCGAAGAAAAGGCAAAAGAGAGTAGGGAACCAGGCCTGTCAACCAGGTTTTATTTCGTATTTTTTTTTTTTTTTCTCGTAACGAAATTACATATATGTACTGTAGAGTTAATACATATTATCTGGTAGCACTGCTCAGCTGTTGTTAACAAATCAGGTTAGCTTGAGTGAGGTTACCCACAGCAGTAGTTGCCCTTTGTTCGTGATAGTGTGATGTTTATGTAGAGGAATGAAGGTGTTTTGTGTATTTGTAGTGTAAAAGTTTATTAACTAAGCCTCATTTGTTTCCTGAAATGATTTGCTGGCATCCCATAGTGTTATCCCTTGTGTGGGAAATTAAGGATAATGAGTACTGAAGAGTTGAAAACTGCCAAATAGTTCACAAAGCCTCATTTGTTTCCTGAAGTGATTTCCATACATCACATTTACACTATATATCTGTTGTCTCTGGCCATAACTACATAAGCCGAAAAATGGTCCTCACGTGTTTTGTTAATTGAGATCATCTTCCAATACCGTGAAGAAGTTAATAAATTCACAGTTCTCGTCTAGGCCTCTTAAATGTTTAGTACTGAGTTACGAGCTTCTTCACGGTATTTAAAACGCTTGGAAGATGATCTCAATTTACAGAACTCTTGAGGACCATTTTTCGACTTTACTAGTTATGTTCAGAGACAATAGATATGTTCTATTAAGCCCTTTTCGAGCTCTTTCTCCTTTCCTACCATTATTTATTCCAAAATCCGTCAAATTTATATAAAATTATAAATTTTACTTTCAATGTCAATGTATTGTGTGATTTTTCGATTTTAATTATTTACTTTTTGCAGTTGCGAACATGATTATATTAAATATTTATTTAGATACTTCTTAAATAGCCGGACGAGACCGACTTCTATCTGCCAATGTTTATGACTTTATCACTGATAATTCTGATAAAGCACTGATAATTCCTTTCTTCATATTCATATTTGTTGTATTATATTCATATTATTGAAATTGTTAACAAAAACAAATGTAATAATAAAAAAATACTTTTATTTTACAACATATATATTAAATAGACGAAAACAAATGTAATAATAACAAAACAGTTTGATTTGTAATTGAAATAGATTAAAAGAAATGTAATAATTCCCACAACAATAACAAAATACCTTAATTTCGAAACATTTTAAAGCATTTAAAAAAGAAATCCTCGACCCCTCTAACCACGTTCCTATCCTTATAGAAACGTTTTTGTTACAAGTGGGCACAAAAGCATCTCCATTTCGTCTTTCTGTCTAACTTCATTTGATGACCTTCTTCACACAATTTCATGTTTGGAATTATCCCGACGTTTTGAAAATATTCTATAGCCTCTTCTTCTGAAGATGGTAATTCCCAGAATGTAATAACATCCATAATCTGACAAAAATCACACTAATGGAACAAAAATAAACGATGGAATAACTCACTGCTTAAACGAGGAACAAAAATCAGCAATGGAATAACTCACAGCTTACACGAGATAAGAAAAGGGAGGTTATGTGGTGTAACATTATATAACGAGGAAGGTTTCTTCCCGCCCGGCTATTTAATAAGTACCTTTATTTATTATATTCTTATATTTGTTTTTATTATTATTTTATTTTTGTTTTTTTAAGGAATTGGAAGTCCTTGTGACATATGTGATAACCTTCGAGACTGCGGGCTCATTGTGTGGCCGTGCCGGGACAAATATCTTCGATTCACGCCTCCTCTAATCGTTTGTGAAGATGAAATTACACAGGCTGTCAGTATTTTCAAAAAGGTTATCGATTTTATGAAAGGTTGTGGAAGAATTTGCTGATGTCGTTCCATACCTAATCAAATATATTGTTTGGTGAGCTTGATCCATGTTGTTAAAAAAAAATGAAAGAAGAAAAAAAAGGTGCTGAAAAAAGAAAAAGTTAACACAACTTAAACTTCAACAAAAAAAAAATTGTCTTCATAAATATATATTGCATCACTTTTTGATTATGTCTGCTGACTTTTTTAATATAATATAAACAAAAATGAATACTACTGACAGATGATTCTCTTCCTAGTCATTATAAGACTTTTGATTAAACTTGTAGGCTGTGCTCCGTTTGATTTTCTTCTTGTTAAAGATTGGAATTGAAGAAAAAAAAATGGAGGAAATTTTTTAATGCTACACATCCTTAAAAGTACTCATATGTTTAGATTGTTTATAAACCTAGTGAAGGTGATAAAAATAGTGGATGTCAATTATTGAGACTCTTAGTGTTGCTAATTCAAGCTTGGGATATAAGGATGATAATTGATTAAATATTCGTTTTCTGTGATGTATGAATGAACCGTTCGCCTTTCTCTTTTGTTCCCATAATTAAATGCCAATAAAGTGCTCTACATAACTGAATTCCTTGCATCTCTCCATTTTCTGTATCAATGTTAGATCTCCATGTTACTTCCCAAGCTTATATGCAAAATATCAATTTGTAAGAAAGGTATCATAAATATTAATCCATAGGAAGTTATAAGGTTTTACTTTGTCGATTATCCTCCATCATTTCTGTTGTTTACTACTTATCTCAATCGAAGGATTATTTAAGGCATATTTAGTTTGATTGGTGATTAAATATGTATAATTGAGAACTTCTTTTGGGTGCGGGTAAAACTTCATTCAGTTAGAAGATAGCATTGTACGCGTTGTTCAAAGTGAAATCAAGATGTTACGTTGAGATTAAAACTGTGGAAATGAGTAATCTTTATTATTGTGAATAAAGTTATTGAATTTATAATGTGATCTATTTTTGAAATGTGTATACTTTTTGCATGTTTCGTGTCAAGGTTATTAATTAAAAAAAAAAATGGGAGTTTTGTTTTAGTTCTGAATGAATACATCTATGTGTAGAATTTTGTAACCAACAGTTAGGTATAACTTATATAGATTTGATCTTTCAGGATCGTATCAGGCAAAAATCCAAATTTTGGATACTAAAGGTTACGTCGTTTTACCGTAACTTTCTCGTTTACTGATGATTATTTCGTAAGTTTATTTACAAAAAGTGTACATGTTAGTTTAAAATATTGAAATAATGCTGATATTTATCCACAATGTCAAGTAATAACGATAGCAGGTTCGGATTATATGAGGATTGCTGTGGCAACCAGTATAGAATCACCCAAAATAATATTAAAAACATATGGAACAAAAAGGAAAGGGATGCCATTGCGAGTTGAGAGTGAAACTGCTGCAAGTTTGCTTACTCTTGTAAGTACTGTTTGTTATCGAGTATAAGAGTTTAATATGTATGGCATTCACCTAGCTCATTTTTCTCTTCAGCAATAACAAATCATTAAATAAGCAGAAGATCCTAAACCATACATTCCAAGTCTTGAGCATTAAAAAATAATAGAAGCAACAAAACAACGAATCTTTTGGTGATCGATATCTAATAGATTTGTTTCTGAAGGGAAACAAAAAAAGAAACGAAGAAAATCATTTAAAAGCAAAAATGAATGAAAAATAATTTTATTTTGGGACTGAAGTCCCCTTAGAATAATAACTGAGTATATACAAAAAGGGGAAAAAAAATAATAAAATGGCTCTTATCAATAATTAATTATTGGTGAGCAACTGTAATTATATTATTATTATAATAGCGCTACGGTCCTACAAGAACCAGGGCCTCCTCCACAACAGCTGACCAATCTCGACGGTCTTGCGTTACTCCCCCCCCCATCATCGGACGTCCATCCGCCTCAGATCGTCCTCCACATCCTCCAGCCATCCGATCCGAGGGCGCCCTCAACTTCTTTTGCCATCCGACTTCTCATTTAGCATCCTCTTTGGCATTCTTTCCACATGAACTCACCATCTGATTCTGGCTCTTTTTATCAATGCCACAATATGAAATTCACCATAAAGTTCCCGTAGCTCCTTATTCTTTCTATTTCTCCAAATTTCATTCTGAAAGATTCCACCCCATATTCTTCTCAATACTCTTCTCTCTCACGAGTTGAGCGTGCGTTCTGTAACATAAGCCGAAAAATTCTTACAAGCTTGCGAAAGAGGGAGTGGGGTAGCTCAGTGGTAGGGTACTGAGCTTCCAATGCTAAAAGTCACAGGTTCGAACCCTGGCTCATGGCAGAAAATTTATTTATCTGTTTCATTGGCCGTGGGGCGACCCTGGGTAGACCCTCCTGGGGCACACCCATCCTCTATAAAGTGGGAACCCTTGATTAAATAATTGACTAAGGGGGAAAACCTGGCGGTTGAGCGTGATCGCGGTCAAATCACCTCCTTGTACAGCCGTTTACCTAGAAACAGTACTTGCCCTAAATAGTACTGAACCCTTCAAGGGTTGTAGTGGTACAGGTTTTTTTTGCGAAAGTTTGAATGTGTCGGTTTGTGTCGCGGTGGCGGAATAGGAGTTGTTTGAAGGAATTTGAGGACGTGTGGAGATAGGTAAAGAGTTCTAAAAGGATGTAGCACGAATGACGAAGGATTTGCTGAAGGAAGTGGTTTTATAGGAGGGGATATATAGATCTATAGGTAGAGATCTAGCATTAAGAGAGTGAATAGAGAAACGTAGAGTAATCAGTTCTAGGATATAAAGAGGATTTGTGGTTCTGAGGACTGATAAAGGAAAAAAACAAGAAGGAACTGCCGTCGAATGTGAATGATGATGAATCTTATGAAGCAATTCACGAGTCTCTTCAGTCTCGCCTCCAGTCTTGTGGACAGCCCACCATCCACCAAGTAATCGTAGTCAAAGTGGGAGAAAATAAGGAACTGTCTGTTTTTTTTTTGTTTTTTTTTAAATAAAATTATGGAATAGTAGGAATTATTTAAGGATATTTATGAATTTATTGGTAATGTGGAAAATGTGGTTACTCTAAGAAAGGTTCTGATTAGAGAATACTTCCGAGGCTTTTGACTGTCAGAAATAAATGGATGGAACTGTTATTAAGGTAAAAGTAGAGGAGAAAAAGAAAGGGAACTAATGAGGTGCCTGGAGCCGATGAGGATAGCCTTAGTTTTATCTGCGTTCAGCTTCAGTTCATTTTTTTCTGCCCATTTGTGAATATAGTCAATATTCTCTTACAATTTTCGGGTAGCCTTAGGCATCTCAGAAGGTTGAAACGATAAGTAAATTTGGAGATCGTCATTATGTAAAAATCATAATGGGAGTGATGAATGGAGTCAGGAAGGTCGCTAATATTAACGGAGAAAAGAGTCGGTGAAAGTTAGAAGCCCTGAGGAACACCTCGCGATAATTGAAGGGACCAGGAAATAGATTTTTTTAGGAACGGCAACTGTCTGAGAGCGATGGAATAAAAAGGAGAGGAACCATTTTAAAAATGGGTTTCAAATTTACATAAAGATGAAATAAAATCTAGAAAATAATTGGATTTCTAATGGCCTCCTTTGCTCACGCCAGCTGTTTTATTTTCACTTGCTGTCAGACCTCAGGATTATTGTTCCCATGAGGATTTTCGTATTTGTACGAGGTGATAAGTTATTGTAAGATGTTCGAGGATCGTCAATCTGGTTCCTCGTAAAAAGTTTTTGATATCGTATGCTAAGTTATCACCATCACAATAAAATCTCGGTCGACCGCTGCGCAGTGTGGGGATCTCTTGGACCAAGTGTCTCTCTCCTGTACATAAACATTTTACCCTTCATCAGTGAATTTGATGCACAGATTTTCCGACTACATGACACAAGTTTTCCGAACTACATTTACTGTCCAACAAAAAGCCAGTGCACCAATATACATTAAGAATATTCTATTCGAAATGGCAGTTCATCTACCATGCAGTGCACTGTATTTTGTTGTGAGACTCATATTCAAATGAAACATTTTCTCTTCACGAGCCGAATTCAACATTAAAGGTAAAAAAACAAATTAATTGTACAAGACCACCATTGAACCATTATCGACTTAAAGTATAAGACTTCAAGGATAGGTCCCAAAAGTAACGCGTATTTAAACGCCTTGTCGGCAACCTATTATATTGAAGTATCCGGTGGTCTTTTTGAACTCTGGCATTGATCTCCAATCATTTCTTCTGGCCGGGGAAAAAATTTGTAACAGTAAAAACAAGGAAGAGGTGAAAAAAAAAAAAGATTTGACTACAAAGAGCAACAGAACCAAATTTGTTTGATAAATGAACACGACAATGAACAGTTGTTAGCGGAGCATATCTAAATAAAACTTTGGATGATTTATTTAAAAAGTTGTTTAAAGGAATACATCTATGTTTCTGTAAACGTTTTAATGAAATAAATAAAATCATTCATAATCGGCGAAACACTTATTACCACGACCAATGTTAAATGAGATAGGTTTAATGAGATACGTAAATTAAGCTCTCTCAAAAAATTAAAATTTGGTAACAGATGTAGTTGTAAATAACCTGCTGTAAATGTGAAAACAAAAAAGTATATAAACACAGCTATTGTTCAAGATATCTTATAAAAGATTCATTCTTGTATGTGAAAATGACATCAAACATAAAGCATTACCAAAGCTACTATGAAGTACCATTCTACTCTGATGAGGAATCTGTTATTTCATCTTTGGTAAGTGATTATTGAGATGTACATTTATTAAATTATTGAATATTCTTAGTTTTATTTTGACTGCTTTGTGCGTTTTACCGAATTTGGAAGATGTTTTCTATCAAGAAAGTTTTTTTTTTTAAATGATTCAATTTAAACGAGAATTTCTGAAAACATTTTAAAACAAAAGAATATTTTTAAACTTATCAATACAGAATAATTTGTTAACGTATGATAAATATATAAAATATATTGTAATTTCAGTGGCAACACTGATTGTTGAATGCTTGCCTGTGTATTTTAAACTGTACAAAGTCTGGGTTTCGTTCATTTCAAATTGGTTTCTGTTATTATAATATTATCATGAGTGAAAACGTCATATATCACAAGCAAAATGAGGTGATTAAATGTTACTTGTCAATTAACAAACAATCAATTAATGTTATGCGAAATATGTTGTTAAAATTAAGTGTGTGTGACTGATTGTTAATATTTCTGATTTCTTTTCGATTTTAAACATTTATGGTTTTTAAAGCAGACTGAAGAAGAAACAGAATCGATGGAAGATGATGTTTGGGATGATACCTTGTTGATAAAGGCATATGACAGGGCAGTTATGCTAACAAAAGAAAGGGTAAAATCAGAAATACTTCATTTATGTTTCAGTATATAAGTTTTATTTTGTAATCTGTTGTACTGTTTAAATGTTTTAGTCTGTCATTACTATCATATTAATGTCTTAGGAACTTTATTTTAGTAATTAATTTATATTATTAAGTTTTGAATATTTTGTTGGATTGTTAAATCCAAATGCATAGTTGGCCTGGTTGACAATATTTTGTGCTTCCTTCCTAATGTTACATTCTTTTACTTGTTATGTACCCTTACTTAATATTTTAAAATGGTATAGTCATCTAATTTTATACTCCCCTTTTTATTCTTCTGATAATGTAACTCCATGAGTAAGTTGATTAAACTGATTATCTATTCTGATAAAATTGCTGTTGTATAAATCGTTAATTAATTGTTTAAAGTTGGCTCTGTTGACCAACTACTTGTTATATTTCTTCTGCAAGTAAGCCTACAAGTCACGATTAATAAATGAATAAACTAGTGTTCTAAGTCTATGTAACTAATGAAATAATGTGACCTGTAGGCGAAGTTGGATGAGAATTAAAATATTATGAAAGGTAACGCATGCAAACCAATTAATCACACCTTTGAAGCTTAAGGAAATGTTCTGATTTTAATTATATTTATCTGGTTGTGATTTCATTAATTATAAGAAATTTCAGATTAATTATTTTGGTCTTTTTTTTTTTGGTACTAGTTCACAAGAGTTCCGCATGGATTACGCCTGGTTCACAATCACTTCGATCACACTTGTTCATGGAATCCCGAAAACAGCCGAATGTTGTCGTCTTTTATGACGTCAGCTATTGCCCCCTAATACAATCCCTTTTCATGCATTTTTGAAAAAAATACAACGTATTCCCTTTATGGAACTTCCTTATTAAAAAATTGTGTATTTACTAATTAGTTAATTATTAATTTTTATTATAACGGTTATTACTTTGAAAGAAAAAGAAAAAAAATACATAAAATAATGTTTGAGTAGTTTCTTCAAGGCCTGTTAAAAAAAAAAAAATGCTTTTAGAAATAACATTTTTATTGACACGTGCTTACAAGTAGTGGCTGTAAATACGCATATAATGTATATTATCTTTTATAACTGTGCATAAAAGATTTTTTATCATTTGGATAATAAATAATTTTAAGTTATCTATTATCTTCTTTTTTGTTATTCGAGTTTTTCAATAGAAGTTGGAATAATTGAATTTATTATTTATTTTAGCAAGCCTTTTTTAGAATTGCGCAAACGTCTATCTAGTTTATGTATTTTTTTAGATTTCTAATAATACGAGGGGCTATTCTAGTGGAGGGGGGCGCTTTGTATGCATATACTGTCTGATTTGTAATTATGATATGTAATTATTGTTATTCGCAGTTATTTTTCTTGGTAATCCGAAAAAAGGAATTATTGTAGGCTATGGTACAAAAAAAAAGTATTTATTTTCGAGAAAGGAATTAACGTATTTGGGAAACAACTGACGAAGAATATGTAATAATTCCAAGATAATGAATATTGGAATCATCTATAAGAAAAATAATATCGTGAAATAGCAGCCAGAGATGCAATAATTAAAGATTTTTATGTATTACTATTTCTTTTTTACAGATCTATATTATATGTACAAGCTCAATTCATGTTTCATGTTGTTTAGCCTAAATTTCGAATGTAAATCTGCTTCTGCTATATAACTGAACGTGGTTAAGGTTGAAGTACTTAAATGGCGGGAAAGTTAATAGTAACTGGCCCAAGAGATCGGTCGCCTTCGTTCTCTTTCGGAGAAACACGAACGCATTCGGGATTCCAGGAACAAGTGTGATCGAAGTGATTGTGAACCATGCGTAATCCGTGCGGAGCTGTTGTGAACTAGTACCTTTTTTTTAAACTAAAATCCTAACTATTAATACTCAGAAGTCTATGTTTTAAATGTAACTTCCTACCTCAGGGTGCCGAATGGAATCCGAATTGGAAGTTTTTATGTTATAGTAGATTTATTTTTTGAGGTGTATTTCTGAGTATGATCTCTGTTCAACTATAATAATTAAGTACTACAAGATTATTTCAATATGATTTTCAGATAGCATCTCGAAATGCTGCGGAAAAAGAAGATGGAACAAGCTGTCCAAAATCAGTTTCAAACTTGGTAAGATTCTTAAGAATTAATTAGCTCAATTTTTTAATGTTTTTGTTCTTTTATTAGTCATCTGTGAATTTTGTAAAATGTATTAGCTGTTTAACAAAAGTGGTCATATTGTTATGGAAATATATGTTCTATTATATTACATATTATGTGGACATATTATATTGAGTACTAATAATAGTTTGTATCTAATCTTTTGTTTGAAATTCATGTTTTTACAGCATATCATAAAGCACTTATACTAACTATACATTACATGTTATTGCATCAAAAATTAAGTTTAATAAACTTATGATTAAAAAAATTAGTATTAGTTTCCCCTACCATTGATGAACCAATATTACATGTCTAATCCTATGGCCCTAACTAAGTTTACCTTCGTTTCATTCATATAATGTCCCACGAGTCTCTAGTGAACATTTCAAGAGGACTTCAGTTCATGGATATAATCATTTTTATTACATTCGTTACAAGATGGTTACTAGTTGTAGTATGATTTATGGTAACTAACAGTAATTAGTTGAGGTTGTCATAGCATCAACTTTAACATTCTTGAGTTTAGCGACACTTGTTCAAATTCCAGCATACGGGGTTGAAATTCATTGCACATAAGTATATAAACCTATTAACAATGCAGAAAAAAAAAATGTATCAAAGCCATTACTATATTTCAAATTAAGGTGGGGGGCAGGTTTGCCCACCGGGCTAACGCCAAACATGCGTTGTCTGGTAAACTGAAATACCGAAATTCAAATGATAAAATAATTACAAGTTTGCTTCCCGGTGCCAAGGACTTTTAATTCTTGTATTAATCTCACGCCTTCACTCCTGGCACAAGGAGAAACCTTGTATAGCCTAAGGTGAGGAATGGGTGAACATTTTATTATTATTTTATTTTATTTTATTTTCCTCCCTACCCTGCCTTTAAGACAATACGGGAGTTTGCAGCAGTGACTTGATACACATTGTATAACAAATCACTGTTGCATGTTTATCTATTTACATTTTTAAATTGCTGTGCACACAGCCTGCTTGATAATTTTGTCACTTAGTTATTGTTCTCCATCTTCTTCTCCTGTCCTAATTAGCGGCCTTCCAGGTACTGCTTCTTCACGCCTTCCCAGGGAGAAGTGGGTTGGGCCCACAGTTTTTTTCCAGCCGCATACGAAACTTTTAAAGTGCGGGTAGTTTTGTTCAGACATTAGTTGGGGTAATTGTCCTTCTGTAAGAACGAAAAGCCCTGTATCCCTCATTAATTTGGCCCTCAGTGCCTCATAGCTGGTGCAGGCTACAAGGATGTGCTCAGCGGTTTCAGGTACTCGACAAGTGGGGCATAAGGGGTCGATATTTTTACCGTGTTTAAAAAGTTTTGCTCTGAAACCCCCATGCCCCGTGAGGATCTGTGAGACCCAGTAGTCCGGGAGGACCCATTTCTTTTCTAAGCGCGATTTAATGGTGGGAAAGAATTTTCTTAGTGTGGACCCGTTTGGGGTTGTCACCCATCGTCGATTCCATTGTTCCAATGTATCCTCCCGGAGGATCATCTTCCATCTTCTGGGGTCATCACAAATCCTCTCCCGAATGTTTGCTGGTAAATCCGCCAAGTCATCCCTCTTAATGTTGTACCGACAAAGGTCTTCCCGCAGAAGGAGGTCGAGAGGAATACCTCCTCCTAAGAGGAATGGGTGAACAAAAAAAAAAAAAAAAAAAAAAAAAAAAAAAAAAAAAAAAAAAAAAAAAAAAAAATATATATATATATATATTAAGTTGAATTGTTTATCTGATAATAGCGCTCCTCTATAAATATCAACCTGGAATCAATTCATTTTTGAACTCTTAATTTTTATGGGTGCCCAACATTATTTTAATAATTAAGATAAGCTCATAAAAGTCACTTTGTAACTATACTGACTTCTACAGTTTTAATTATTTTGGTCTCTTCTATTTAATTTTTTACTCTTAAGTGGGTTTAATGTGATGTGAGAAATTTGTTTTCAAATGTCTTTAATATACTTTATTTTCATTTAACAAGATACAAGTTTTTATGTATTATTTTTTTTCAGAATCCGAATTCCAATGAACAGGAAGAACAATGCCCTAAGAAAAATGTTTCCAAAAAGGATAAAATAAAGGTTTTTATTTATTTTTTATGTTTTAATTTATGCTTTATGAAAATAAATTTCAACTTAAAATTTGTTGTAGTGGAAAGTAGGTGCTTGTTGTCGGACCTTCTTTTCTGAGGATGGATTGGAATATGAAGCAGTTATAAAAAATATTGATTTTGATAATGGAATTTGCACAGTGAAGTATTTAGGTGAATTCTGTTATAATTGAATATATGTTTAATTTGATGTAATTTAGTTTCATGTAATTTAATTATTTTTATTTTTCAAAAAGGCTATAATAATGAAGAAGATGTTGATATTAAAAGCTTAAAGCCTTCAAAAGGAAAAGAATCACAAATGAATCAAAAAGCACAGGTAATTTTTTAATTTATTAATGTATTTTTTTTTTGTTGAGTTAGAGAATCTACTCTTTTTAAACTGAATCTTTCCCAAATTCCTTAAAAACATTTAATATTAAGAAGAAAAAAAGAGGATAATTTGAAATATTTTCTTCTGAAAAACTAAAATTGCAACCTTTTGATTTTGAGATTGACTTCCACTATTTTCGAAGTATTTATTGGTTATGAAAATTACTGATATTAATATAGAAGGTAATATCAGGTATCTATATAGAAGGTTAATATGTATAGATATATATAGAATATAGAAGGTTAAGGTATCTAGGATCTGCGATAACTAGAAAAAAACAAAACTAAGGAGATTAAGGTTAGGCTGAAGGCGGGAAATGTTTGTTATTTTTTAGTGACAAAACTACTTAGCTCCTGTCCTGGGACTTAAAAACTAGAATCTATAAAACCATTATCCTAGCTATGGTTCTTTGTGGATACGAAACGTGGCCACTTACATCAAGGGATGAGCAACGTCATAGGGTTCTTGAAAATAAAGTATTGTGTAGAATATTCGGATCTTAGAAGGAAGAGTTAATCGGAGAGTTCAGACGGTTACACAATGCCGAATTGTGTAAATTGTATCCAGTTGTATAATTGAGGTGATAACATCTCGGTGAATGAAATGGGGTTGTAAAATTGTTGGACTTAGTAACGAAAGAATTCCTTAAAGGTTAATATTATCTCTGCCGACTGATAAACGTTTGAGGGGTAGACCAAAGCGAAGGAGGTCATGATGGACCTCCTAGCCACGCAGGTTTGAATCCAGCCTGGGGGAAGGGTTTGACTTTTATTTCGTGGCGAACCCACAGAATGAAACTCGATGCTCCCACTCTGGTTAAAATAGGTTTGGTTGTGCCTCTAGAATAACCCTCCTCCCTTAATGCCAGAAATAGTGGGTAGAGGATTATCCATTAAAAATAAATAAATAAAAAAAGACCGAAGCGAAGGTGGGATGATGGAAAAAAAAGGAGCTGGGTGGGGATGGTGACCGGTGGAGGGAAGTGTGCAGACATTGATTGATGGTGTTGACATTGAACCTTCGCGTTCACTAAGCCTTTTATTTTTATTATTATGAGAATTATTATTTTTAAAGTTTACAAACCGTTTTAATCATTTTCAGGCTAGGCTGATGAGTGGTGCTGGTAGTGCTAGTGCTGCTCAATATCAAAATGGTTATCGTGAAGATTACTCTTCTTCTCAACAGGTAAATTATTATAATTTTTAATAAATAACATAAAGAAAGTGAAGTAAGCTTCTGATAAAGGCTATCAATCAGGATGAAGTAATATAAATTATAAGATAAAATATTTTTAATAATTGTTTTTGTTGCGGGTTTACTTTAGTTAATTATGTATGTGACTCTGATATACTGATAAACCGAAATCCTCAGTTTTGACAGTTTCTTGTATACAGACGCTAAGATATTAAAAAACATCTTTTGGTCGATACAGGTTTATACAAAAATGTTTTTAAAATGGTGTTAAACAAAAATACACCGATTGTATATTTTTTTTCCTTTAGGAATTTCTTTGATATGATACTTTCCTCACTCACCAAACATCTGCCTCAGCAGGTCCTTCCATCCTTGCCGGTCCATATTGTCCTCTGACCCTACCATCCATACTCTCCACCACTCTATTCCTCCATCTAACTGGTTGAGTCTATTCCTCCCTCACTCATTCTTCTCACGAGGCCATGCCATCTTAGTCTTCTTTCTTTCATCATCTTTCAAATATTTTGTTTTACTTCCAATTTCTCCATTATAGTGACCCTTTCTCCTCCAAAAATTCATTTCAATTGAAAGTAATTTTCTTTCCTGGCTCATATATGTCTCTGAATATAGCATTAACTTTTCTACCAAAGCCTTGTATATTAGTTTTTATTAATATATTACTGCTCCAGAGCACCAACGGATTCAGGATTATTAAATGTAATTAGACCAACAACATTACTTTTAGACATATTTTTTTTTCATAAAACAGGTTTATATTTTACCATTTTTTGAGGGGAGGGGGAGGCTTCAGCCCGTCTGCCTGTTCAAAATATAATTTCAGATCAATGGCTGAAAATATGATCTTTGGACTCATACAGATAGAGATCTGAAAGTTCTGTTGAAAACTACTAATTGAAAATTTAACCTGTTTATAACACTTTCCTTACTTTGCAATGGTAGGAAAGTAGAAAAACTTATATTGATTTGTCATTTTGATACTTATGCAGATTACTAATTGCTTGTGGTTTAATCATTCTAGTTTATATCTAAATTTTTTAATGAATCATGTTTAATTACTTATTTATCTTTTAGAATCTCGGAATGATACCTCCACCACCGCCTCCTTTTGTTTTGGCGAATTTACCAAAAGATGAGACTGATGCTTTATCTGCAATGCTTATGGCATGGTACATGAGCGGTTTCCATACAGGTTTGTAAAAAGTGGAAATGACAGTATTTTATTATTTATTAATGTGTAATAAGAGAAGATGTAATGATGTCAAGAAAAATTAGGAATTATATTTGAGAAATTGCGAGTCGTTGGGAATTTATAGTTTTTTCTTCAATTAATTTTGTACTTTTTTTTTTTTTTTTTTTTTTTTTGGGGCACATATAAAATATTTGAGCATAGGATCGATATTGTAGTTTCCAAGAAAACTAAAAAAAATGTCCTTACATTAACAATCTTCAATCCCCCTCTTAAACAAGTACTTGTCCTATGATCTTACATAGATTTTTTTATCTATCGCTAAATGCACTAGAGATTTTATGAAATAGTAAAATTATCATGTTGCTCCAGCTATTTCAGTTTCATCATTGTGTAAAGTTATACGAGGAGAATATTCCAAGTGAAACTGTTCGAACCTAGAAAGAAAAAATTCATTAGTATATCAGGCTTTGGAATATTAGTATTGGCCAATTATTGGTTGATTTCTAGTACAACGTTTGACAAGTATCTTGCTTGCTGTATTGATAATTTGAAATGTTTGCATTTAATCGAACACTAACCCATTTATAAACGAACCAAGTCCAAAATTGAACATTAAGATAGCTATCACTTATTAAAAAAAAATAAAATCTCATTTTAATTTTTTTTTTTAGGTTATTATCAAGGTCTTACAAAGTCAAGAATGAGCTCGCAGTCGTTTGGTAGCCACAATACTCACTAAAGTTCGAAAGACTGTTTTTTCATATGTATATTTTTCAATAAAAGTTACTTTGTTGTTGGTGTAATTTCATGAAATAAATAATTTTCTTAATTTAAACATCTTTTTTATTTAAATGGTAAGTATGAAACAAAGCAATTTTTGATCTTATGTAGAACGTTTGGTTCTTACCAAATAAACTTATGACCATCATTAATTTGTAGTGTTACTGATTCATACACATCAAAGTTTAACTTTGTAGACATTTATTACTTTTACCTGTGATAATAAAGACAGTTTTATTTGACATAGAAAGTTAATTATTTATAAAGAGGCCCTAAATCTGTTATTTTTGACTTTTGAAATGAAGTTCAATCGTATTACGCATTACCTATTATACATCACTAAAGGATGTTTTTTATTAAATGTATGGAGAACTCATGATGAAATTCACATACTTAAATTTTATAGCCTTTAGTCTTTAGATTAAATTGTTATTCAAAATTTTAGCACTTTAACTCTAAAAGAGGAAATTAATTAAAATATAGTATATTGTAGGTCCCACATAATATAATTTTAACACACAGACTGGTGACCGTAGGATGTTCTACTACGAGTTATCTCATAGTTTGTTTTTATAACTACAATGAAATTAGTTGCATTAATTTGGTTATTACTATGTATTAAAATTACAGTTTTTAACAATAAATATAATTTGACTTGACCAAGTATCCTGATAGTCGAAGTGTTAATTTGGTATATTTTTTAAATTGTATTGAAATCTCATAATGATAATGGATTACTTTGTGGCTTGGCAATTTACAGAAATCTATTTTAAACTTTTTAAGAGGATTATCACAAATTTTTAAACCACAGAGCCAATTAAACCAGAAGTTTTCATTCTAGGCTTCATTATGGCTATAAAGTTAGAAAGAGGTTATCATGTGAAACAATCTATATGTACCAGGAACATTCTTTTATATATATATATATACTTATTTAACTACAAATTTAAATGTTTAATTACAGTAAAAATATAATAAAAACTTGAAGTGGGTGCGGAGGTGTAGTAATAAAATAATCATACCAATATATCACGTTTTAGGTCTTTGTATTGTTTTTATATTTAACAATACTGCATACATTACAATGTGAGTTTTTGAGATATTTTGATTGGTGAATAAAATTTTCAAGGAAAAAAGGTTAATTTTTCATTACCTTTTCCAAATTGTCTGCTTTTCATCACATTTCTCATTCCTATCTAGCCATTTCTAGCATATATGTTGACCTAATCCCAACAACTAAAACGATGTGTGGTTGATTCTCAATGCAGTGTCTCAGTTTTATTTGAAGAGAGATTGTAGTGGCCGAGCTTGTTGAAGCATTGCCCACTTTCTCAAGTCTAGCAACGTGCTGGTTCGGTCAGGTCTAGGTATGTTTAAATTTATTTTGTGGTGAACCTACAAAATGAATCTTGACTGTCGTACTCTAGTTTGTTGAAATTATGCCTTTTTTACCCGAACATTTCTGGCATACAGTGTAGGGGGCATCCATAACTATAGTGGAAAGGTCAAAATCCAATGAAATAAATTTACCTTTGAAGTGATGACTGATGATGTTGGAGCCTGGAGAGTCTCTAGAGTTACCTTTTGAACGTTGGTTAATTGTTTTCATTTGGGTAGTTAGTGCTAGCAAATGGTGGCAGCCATTTGCTAGTCGTTAGGGGTTGTTAAAAAGAACCAGTAGGCCTACTTGCCCGAAAATTCCCCCCTTCCAGATCCAGTACCTTTATCTTTGTGACACATAATCATCAATAGCCAGTGGATTTGGATATCTAATTAATGGAGTTAAAATTAAAATTTTTAGGCTTCTTTGTCATAGTTTTGGGGCCATTTTAAAGCTTAAAGGGAGCCATAGCACCTAATTCTAAGTGCCTGGTAAACGAACGTGTTTGAAGAACACCTCAGCCTTAAAGCCTAGTACTCAATAGTAGACATTGTTGCGCGATTTGTCTAGAGACACCGTTGTCTTGTCTAGCGTCCACACTACGATTTGAAATTCTCACTCTCTTCTCCACAGCCCACCATGAAGGGCATAGTTTTGTGCGGAATGAGTTTCTGCTTTGTGCTTATTACAAGTGAAGGAACGCGAAAAAGAAAACGTTGGTGGACGCGCAAAGTACTCGCAGGTCCTAGCTTCGGTTAAGCATTATTAAATAAATTAAGGGAAGTCACAGTAATCTTCAATTACTTTTAAAATTTTGGCAAATAACTGTAAAAAGAAGGGGGCAGGGTGGCCGAGCGTGCTAACTTGTGTATATAGCACCGCGCTCTGCTCGGCAACCTGATAACCGAATTTGGAGACAATAAAATTACGAGTTCGCGTCCTGGTCGTCTTTTGACTCTGGTATAAATTCCCCGCCCTCGCCCCCTGGCTCGGGAAAAGACCTGTATAGAGCCTAAAAGGTGAGATAGGGTAGATAAAAAAACAAAACAAAAAAATAAAATAAATATTCGAACCAGTTACTCGGTAGTTGAAGGCAGACTGGGACATGTCTCGCCTCTAGACGCTAAGTGACGTCCGCACTGTCAAAATATTGCGCAACATGTCTAACGTTGCTAAATTTCTCCGATCGGAAGACTTTAGACCTGCGATTTTCGGTCTCGCAACAGGCTTGTAGACGAGGATTTTTCTATAGACTTGTCTACGTAGACAAATTGAGACATGTCTTACAGACCAAAATCGCGTAACATATCTATTAATGTGGAATAGGCCTTAGAAACGGAATCTGGTTTGTATCCGGCAGCTGAGTATTTATTTATTGTTGAACCTACGTTATAATCTCGATATTCTCAATCTTTTTTTCTGAGGTTTGTTTATCACTTGAAGGTGTGTGATTAGAAGAAGCCAAAGGTTGTATACTTACATTAAGCTAATAACTTAAACAATCTGTAATAGTAAATAAAATCGATAGTATAAAGTGGAACTTCTGGTTTGTCAATTTTTAACGAAAAAGTTGCTGTAGCATCCCAGCCATTATACTCAACTTAAATATGCATTTTCAATTGCGTACGACTTTTTGTTTTTGACACACACACAGACCATTTTGCGGGACTTACTTATTTAGACTCAGAGGACCTCAAAACATGTATTTCCGTTGAATACTGTGATTCGAAAATTTTCACGATCGCAATACCTTCTCTTGCTATATATATCTTAAGTGAAAGTAAAAAGCTAAATATAACAGCATTTTACCCATCTAATGTCTTTCACAAAGTGTACATTCATAAACACTGAATGGAGAAACATGTAAGTTTTGGGGGACTGACTATCCAATCCAATGAATAATATTTTTCAAAAATCATCAAAATTTTACATAAAAAAAACGAATTTTTATCACTATGGGAACGGGGTAGCTCAGTGATAGGGAATCTTCCAAAGCTCAAGGTCTCGGGTTCGAATCCCGGCTCATGGCAGACAAACTATTCTGTTTCATCAGACGTGGGGCGACCCTGGGATCGGGAGACCCTCCTGGGGGCACACCCAGCCTCTATAAAGTGGGTAACTTTAATTAGATAATTAATTAAGGGAAAACACTTGGCGGTTGAGCGTAAATCACCTTATTGCACAACCTTTGACTTAGAAACAATACTATTCCTAAACAGTACGGAACCCAAATCACTATAGCTGACTATTTTATTAGTTGTTTTCTTTTGTTCTTCGACAAATAAATTACTTTTAGAAAAAAAAAGTTAGTCTTTGTAGTAGGAAATCGATACATTATAAACATTAAGTACGAAGAAATGTAACCTTCCTTTCGAATCAGTTTCGGTTAGGAACGAGGCTGACATTGTCTGTGTACATAACATATCCCCAGTGATTTTATCAGTATTGTGTGTAATATGAAGCTCTATACGAATGACAGTAATACGATTAGTTTAAAAATACTCATCAGTTGTGAAATAGTGGGTAAAAATGTAGAAATTGAGATCGTACAGGTGGATGGTGAGTCATTTCCTGTGATATTGTCTATATTTTAGTATATTTTAAGGCATTAATAGTTTATTAATAGTTTCATGTTCTTTGTTTTTATGTTTATTTGAGTTTATGATTTTACTGTCAAGACCTGTCATATTTTTTTTTATCAGTTTAGTAGATAAACGTATATTTAAATTCAATATTTGTGGGTGATTTGTTTTTAATATCAATTTAAATTTAAGTTTATAAATTAAAATGAATTTAAATTTTAATGTCAACTGTTGACATGCGGGTTATGATGTTTCAACACTTTCCTTATCTTTGATATATTGATAATATCTGATTATTCTTTATCTTTTGTATTTGGATTATTTTTACATGAAATTTTAAATATTTTTGTGAACTAAATAAAAACTTAATCCAGAGAAAATCTTTTATTTTGAGATTTGTTATGATTACGATTAACAGTGTTGAATTATGTATGCCAAAGTTAGATGTAGTCTTTAACCATCTTTCCTTATGGATATGGCTTTCCATCATGTGTTTATTAGTAGCATGGTGAAGCATGTTTCTTGAGGCACATTCCAGTTTTGAAGCTGGAACTGAACATTCCAATTTGAATGTTATACTATTTTTTGAAACCATGTAATATCTTTTAGTAAAACTGAGTTCAAAAAGAAAATTACCAAAATATAGTTGCCAAAAATACATTCAAGTAAACAATTTGCCATATTAGCATTATTTACTGTGTATCAGCCTGGTATTGGTATTGTTTTTAAAATAAACGTTACTCAGAGATTAAAGTTACAACTTAAAGTTGTCTAAAAATAAATTCAGGTTGGTCTATTTTTTTTAATTTTAATTAAGTATTTTTATTCATTTTTTATGAATTAATCCTTTATGGTATTATATTGTTAATTACATTAATTTAAGATTTGAAAGCTTATTAATCTATTTTGGATTAGTGCTACAATATTGCTAATGCTATTATAGGTGATAATAAAATCATGTTATCAGCAAGTTTTTTTGAATGTATTAAATAAGTTTTTCAATTAAAATAAACTTATTTTAAAAACTGAGAAATAACTCCTTAATATAAAATATGAATTGTGATGTGAAGGAAATATATTTCTTTAGCATATATGATTAAGACTTAAAGATATATGATTTAAACTAAGAGGATTATTTCTCAACCTGGTTGTAGATTCCCTTGCAGAAGTGAATTTTATTTAATTATTCTCCTTAAATAGTGCAAATATTTACAAACATTAACTTACAATTAAAATAATAAAGTGCAAACAACAAAATATTCAAATTCAAACATTTTTAATTTAATTTGAAAAGTAGAAATGTTTGATGATACTATATAATATTGTAAAGAAGAAATAAATTAATAAAAAAAGAACATTAGTTATAAAAAATAAATAAGCTCCTAGCGGGGTTAAAATATTGTTAAACATTTTTGCCCAAAATTGTTCGTATACATTTTTCTTATGATTAAAAAATATTTTGTCAGTGCAACATCGAATAATGACCGTGAAGATTTAACTTTAATTTTTAGTATCAAAGAGATGTTTTAACTTTTAACTTCTATCAACCTTAGATTTGTGTTCATGGAATTTTATTTTGTAAAAATACTTCTGATAAATTAATAAAAGTAATTAATTTGAAAAATGCGATTCATATTTGTTACACTTTAAATGTATTAGTGGCGATATGATTTTTTAAATTTTAGCATGGCTGTTAATTTTTTAATATCTCATGTTGATTTAACAGAGATAGCCTTTAGCTTACAAAAATAATATAGTAATTAGTTTTTATTTAAAATTGTTTTGGTTTCTGAATTAAAGAATTAGCTTAGTCAATGCATTTTCAAATAATGATTTATTTGTCATTTCTAAAATAAAATATCTCTCCTTCTTCATTATCTTCGTACCTATAAAAATAATATACTCTACATCATGCCCTTTATGTTTTGAATTTTCGTTATCAAGGTATATTCTTTTCAGATAAACGGTTCCAAGGACCAAAACGCCTGCCGGTTCTTTTGTTAGATACTGGTGTCAGTCTGTTTTCAAGCAATACTGCTGCTAGTGTTCTATTTCACCCACAAGAAGAAGATGTTGAAGCAGTAAATAAGTGGTTGTCATGGGAGGCTGAAAAATTACAGGTTTTTAAATATATATATATATATATATATATATATATATATATATATATATATATATATATATATATTTACAATTAAGGACCTAAACGAATTAATTAAATTAAAGAATCTGGGAATTAAAATTTTTCCTGAAAATATTTCAATGCATTTTTACCAGTAAACGTTATAGCTCTTTTGATTGGTGCAATAATCAAGTGCAAATGTAATGTCGATCCTCTTCTGTGTAGTAAATAATGTAGGAAAGACTACGACAGTGGTCAATACAAAATTTGTTATAAACTGGTGTAAAAACCAGTTACGCTCAGTCTTACCTTGTATATGATGTTATTTTGTGCGTAGTTACTTTTGCAGCCAAAAGAAGATTATTCCTGGAATTGCTGATTTATTCAAAGCCTTATGGAGCATTTATCTGATGTGATAATAATTAAAACTACATTTCAAATGCCTCCAATCTAATTTTTTGTGAATCTGGTCGTACTTGGTTCTTTAGTAAAGCCTTTCGATTTAAACTTTCTTTTTCTATTTAGACAGATATTTTTTATTTTATTTTTAAATTGGGATTGTTTATATTAATAATAGCAACTAACTAGACATTTTTAAATGATATTAAGTTTTCAATTATATTGAAATTTTAAGTTTAAGAAGAAATAAATCATGATACTAATTTTATAATTCTTTTGTAGTTAATTATATTACACTTAATATCAAATAAACCAGAGCTTGTAACGGAAATGTTTTTTTTAATCACCGGAATTTTTAATGTTGATAGACTTTCAGTTGTTTGGAAACTAAAACTTTTTCCTTAACAACTTTTCAAGTAAAGGTATTATAGAACTTTTATTTTTAAAAAACTTTTTTATTAAAAAGTTCTGTTGGTTTTCCTAAACAATTACATTTATTAATTCCTGCTCAAACAAATAACATATTTGAATCATGTCTAATTCATTTGAGACAAATTATAACTAATCTAAACCCAATTACTGTTCATTTTTTAATTGATAGAACTTTTTTTTTACGAACTTGAAAAAATTCAAGTTAAACTTTTACCATAAGCCTGGAACTTTATTTCAAAAAAGTTCCTTAGAACTTTTATTTTAAAAACTTTTTTCCTAAAAAAGTTTCAATACTTTATATGACATGATACCATTTGTCAAGTATAAATATTTAGAGAATAAGCATATTTAAACCCAAAGCTTAAAAGAAATAGTGAATTTCAGAACATTTAATGCTATTAATGCAAAATTTGAGCAAGTGGAAGACTTCAATGCAGTTAATAAGTTGTGGTCCTTTCATTTTGGATGTGTGTTATTATTTTATAAGAATCTCATTTTGTTAGTTATGAACTATATATTGTTTTTATTTTTTTCAGCCGGTTCTGGTCTTATATCATAATAAAAATGAGTTCATATCAATTGTTGAAGAATTATTTAATGAATTAAATTCTGCTTTGTCTTCAACTACTCATCTTGTTGGTGTAAGTTAGGATAATTAATTAATTTTTTAATATGAAATTGTTTGCTTTTAAAAATTATATTTCTGATACCTTGGCATTTTTTGTTTCAGGACAAAATTACAACAGCTGATATTTGTGTTTGGTCAGCTCTTTATCCAATTTATACTGAAGAAAAATTCAAAAGTAAATTGTTCAATGACAGAAAAGGAATTTTAAAATGGTTCGAGAATCTTTATCAGCAGAAATATTTTAAAGTATACATTTTTTTCCTTGTTTTTTAATCTTCTTATTGACTTCATGTTTTCCATTTTTTTCTTTAATGACTTAAATTTTCCAAAAAGGATGCAGAAAAAAAATTAAATGCTAAAAAAGGTTTTGCTGCTATGCAGAGTATCGCTACTGCTTGTTGGTATCCTCTTCCAAGTTCTGTGTCTGAAGATGTCAGTGTTTCTTCGAAGGTCAGTCTTAACTGTTGGTAAAATTATTTACAGGTTTCTTTATTATTCTAATATATAGATATATCCGTACATTTTATATTGTCTACAGGAAAAAAGTGATGAATTAGTCTCAGCTGAAGAAGTAAATTTGGCTATATCGGCATGGGAGAAGGGACCATCATCAAGAGTCAAAATTAAACAAACTAAGAAACCGATGCAAGTATCTCAATTTAGTAATGAACTACTGTAGAGCCCTTTATACTTTAATTTCTGAAACTTTATCTTTTAATAATTTCACTTGTCTTTCTTCTTATAACCTTATCTTTTTACTTTTTCAGTTTACCTCTGAAGGGTGAAAAGAATATATTAATAACTTCGGCACTTCCATATGTTAATAATGTGCCTCATCTGGGCAATATAATAGGCTGTGTTTTGTCTGCTGATGTTTTTGCACGGTAATTTAAAAAAAAATATCTGAATAATTATAGCAATAAGTTTATTTATTGAATTATTTTTGAATAAGTTGTTGAATTATTTTACAATACTTTGGATTAATTATTTTTAATAGTAATTATTGATATTATTAAGCTTTTTATTTATTTGTCTAAGGATCTACATAGATTTTTTTCTAATCTGGCTATATGTTTTCCATATTCTATATGTGTTCCAATGTTCCAATATGTTAAACATATTATTTTTGAAATAAAAAAAAAAAATTCAATTTGATTGATTTTAAAATCATTAAGGCACAATGAATAATTATTGGATAATATAATATTTATGCCTATCAATTACCAAGCAGGTGATATAAACAGACAAATTAATTATCTACTATTCCCATAATCTTTATACTGTCGACTCCTGAATTTATACTTATTTCCTTCTGTGTTATCTGCATTGTTTACAAGATTCATGAAGGCCTAGATCGAATCAGTCTGTAAAACATAGGCAATTGTCATTGGTTCCAAACTCCTTAGCGCCTATACCAATTTTCCCAAACCATACCTAAATGACCATTTTATTTGTTTTTTTTCCTTTTTAAAAACATTAGACTACTTTTTGTTCCTTAGCTAAAAAACTTCTTTATCACTGGACAAATGCTCTCTTGGAATCACCATATTGCCCACATCTGACAATAAAGTTTTATGCTCGAACTCTTCTATCACTTCTGCCATCTCCTACTGAAACGAAACACTTAGGATTTGATTATCATCCCTCATTTTACTCCTCTTTGATTACAGTTGTACTGTGATGTACTGTGGCTTCTTAGAAGATCTTGGGACAGACCAAATAAGCTTATAATCTCCAATTCAAGTCCTTTCCCTTAACACAAGATCTTGAACTAATGACCTTTAAACATATCTTCTTCCTTAGATCTGCCTCATTTCAACTCTCCTTTGTTACCTGCTCTTCGGATTTGACAGACCCCTTTCTTATCAACATTTAAAACACTCCTATTTCACTACCTCTTCACAAAAGTCAGACACTGGACAATTATTTCATTTTCATTATTTATATTTTACCTATGAACAAGAACTTAAATTTCCTGTGATTTACCCTTAATGCTCTTCATTTTTTATGCATAAGTTTTATATATACTTCTACAGTATATATGTACATTTTTTTTCTAATCAATATTTTTGTACATGGATTACCATATTTTTCTTTCTTTTTTAATATATGAAAAGTATCTTTATTTAAATAACAGAAGTAATTTTTATTTTTATTATTTGTTTATTTTTTTTTAATTAAAAGTTTTTGCCTATCTATTTTATGCTATTTTATTTTTTAGGAGTGAACATTTTTTTTGTCATTCTTCCTTATTTATAGCTATTTTTGATGATTTATTTTGTTTTTGTTTATTTATTCAATATTAAAGGTCTTTTGGTCAGAAATAATTTTTATTTTTTTGTGCACAGTTATTATTCCTGAGAGAAATTTTCTCAGAATAAAGTTATTTTTCTATTATATATTTGAAAAACCAGAAATTGATTGATTGATTAGAAATTAAAGCAAATCAAATTAATAAATAAGTCATTGTTGCAAATTCTCGAAGTATACATTAGTTATTGAAAGTGAGTCTCAATATTGTGCTAAAAAATAAATAAAAAACTTAAAAAATTAGTTTACTTTAAAATAATCAATAATTTATTTTAGGTACTGCCGAGCAAGATCATGGAATACATTATTCATTAGTGGAACAGATGAGTATGGTACCGCAACAGAAACAAAAGCTCTGGAAGAAGGTCTTACTCCCCAAGAAATCTGTGATAAATACTTTGCAATACATAGTGATATTTATTCTTGGTTTAATATTTCCTTTGATCACTTTGGGCGAACAACGACTGTTGAACAAAAAGAGTATGTTTTAATTTTTTTTTTTTTAACATTGACAATATAAAAAAAATGTCTAATTAATTTATTATTTTAGGGTTGTCCAGAATATCTTTAATGCATGCCATAAAAATGGATTTACTAGTGTTGCGGAAATGGATCAACTTTTTTGTGAAAAATGTGAAAGGTTTGTGTAATTGAATGTCATGAAATTATTAGAGGTTTCATGAATTACTCTGTTTCATTTCATAATCGTTGACGATAGGTTCTTAGCTGATAGATTTGTGGAAGGAACGTGTCCGGATTGCAAATTTGAAGATGCCCGAGGTGATCAATGCGATGGTTGTGGTCATCTAATGAACACCGTAGACTTGATAGCGCCAAGGTGTAAGTTATGCCAGACTACTCCCGTTGTCAGGCAGTCCCAGCAGTTATTTTTGGAGCTTCCGAAGGTTAGTAAATTGTAGTAAGTTATTATTTTAAAAATGTTTCATTAGAATAAATTTAAAAGAAATTATTAGTTTATATTTCTTCTATTCTACCACTTTTAGAAGTCCCAAAATTTAAAAAAAAAAAATTATATTTCTTCTATTCTACCACTTTTAGAAGTGCCGAAATATTCAAAAAAGACATTGAAATATCTTGAAATGTCTAAGCCAAGGTTTTCCAATCTGGTACCTCAAGATCTATGTGCCGAACTAATCTAACCTGCAACAGTGATCACCATGATGAATAGATGTATAGATCGGGCCAACAAAGATGCAGTAGGTCTGAATACAGATAACGGGAATGAAATAGCCTCTAGATGAGCAGAGATGGAGAAGATTGATCAAGGCGGCAAAAGATCTAAAAGGTCTGTAACGGTACAAAAAAAAAAAAAAAAAAAAAAAATAAAAATAAAAAATGAGTAGTATTGGAAAGCACAAAGAAATTGGTGCCTGCCACATAACTATTGACCTACATATATGTCCTCGAATAGAAAAAGGTTGGGGACTTCCCTGGTCTAGGTAATAGAATGCAACTATATAAAGAAGAGGTTTCATAATCAGTCTGTTGTTCGTCATTAGTTCGATTGTGAATGTCATCAGTGTAATGTTGCATTGTTTGAAAATAATTTTGCCAGCTAGTGTTATACGTTTAGAATTTATTTTACATATATTGTAATGTGAATAGGTGTGTTCTATTAGTGTAAAACCACCAGTTCTCTGGTAAGAATTGTAAATTATTTGAATAAAAATAATTAATAAATTTAAAATAATAGGGTGTATAAAAAAAAAAAAAGACCGTTTTTCAACCAAATATTTGTATTATTATTTCTTTGATATAAAAAACAATTAATATTCAAAGTTTAGTCCACTGTTATCTACCCTCATTAGGCATCTGCCAATTGCTCGATCCCACACTGATAACATTCTTTGGGATGCCAAAGAACTCTTGGACCGCAATTTCAACTTCTGCAACGTCAAATTTTTTCCCTTGAAGAAAATGGGTCATGGATCTAAATAAGTAGTAATCCCATGGTGTGATGTCTGGACTGTATGGTGGATAAGGCAGGAGTTTTTCAGACAAGGGTTTTCATTAAATTTTCACAAATTTCTAATCTCTTAGCTAATTGCCGAGGAGTAAGTTCGTGATGGTTCAGTTTACTGCTCTTTTTTACCTTCCCCATGGAGAGTAGATGGCGACTAACAGTATCTTTTGGCTCACCACATTCCCTAGCAAATTCGCAAGTACTTGTGGACGAATTTGACTTAACACCTTCCTGCAGAACCTCATCAATATTCATTAATGGTCGCCTGGAGCCCTTCTTCCTTTCCTACGTCGTATCTCCACCGCTAAATTTTTCAAATCAATGCCGTGAAGTGCACTGGTCAAGAACACCTTCCCCATCATATTTAACAATTTCACGAGTTGCTTCAGCGGCTGTGAAATTTTTTTTCCAATAATACCTTAAAATTACGAGAATTTCGTAGGACACTGTCATGTTTCTTCTTTGAAACAAATAATTAAACTGAGGCTTTTTTGAAGAAGTTGAATGGGATTAAACAAGCTTAGAGAATGCTCTAAAGGGATAATTAAGTATTGGTAAGTACTTAAAAAATTACAGTCTTTTGAAATCTTGAATTTGATAAAACAGTAATTTTTTTGATACACCCTATTATATTGTTGTTGGTTATCGAAAATGCTTAGAAAATGTAATAATGTATAATTTATAAATTTTATACCTTTCAACTTTATTCTGATTTTGAGGTACCTTGTTGGATGATTGTTCCATTTCCTATAATACTCTGCTTTGCATTGCAGAACATACAATATTTGGTGGCAGTTATTCTCTTAAATGATTTAGAGAATTCCTTGACGAATTAATGTTTAATTTAATAAAAAAAATAAACTGAAGTCCTTTAAGACTGACCAAAAGGTATATTTGGTATTTTCTTTTGTCTATTCCCCATTGCTTACTGTTCTTATATTAATTATGTCTTCTTAATTTGGCAGCAGTTTCTATTAATTACCATCTTTGCTGTTTGTGTTAATATTGAACAGTTGATTACTGAGTTTTTTTTTTTTTTACTAACTTCCTGTCTTCTTTGTTTAAACCCACCATGGCTTGAACTCATTAAAGTGGGTTTTATTCTTATTAATTCAAGTGTGGTGAAAAATCATGCTGTGATCAAGGACGACATTTTCCTAGAGCACTTCTTTAGCATAAAGAACATAAATGAATGGTTGTATGAATAAAAATTGAGCACCTTTACTAATCATCAGAACAGGTAAAAATGTTGAAAAAAGAAAGAAAATTATTAGGATGTTATTGGGAAAAGAAAGCTATTGGTCAATTTTTTGGTAAATTAATACAACAAAAAAATAAAAATTCTGAACTCATCATTTACTGCATTATTATTGCCATTATTGCATTACAAATAATGGCAACTATAGACTTCTACTTTGGAAAGATTTTTATAAATCAATCAATAATTTAAATTGCCCAGCGAAATTGAGGTGTTAAGTTCAAAAAGCAGTGAACTTAGATTTTGGAACTAAACGCCTCAATTCATAATCACAATGGTGCCCACGTATTTTTGGCTATAACTTTCTAATTTATAGTTAGTAATTTTATTTCTTCTTTTTCAACTGCTTATATTGATCTGATTTTTAAATTTTGATCGATTTTGCCATCGATTTGTTGTGTATTAGGTGTCTTATAGGTTGTTTCACATTTGACGGCGTCCCTCATCTGATCTTTAACACATTCATTGTAATGCCAGTGTTCTTTTCAGTATTATGGTGAAAACAGTTAATTTAATTTAATCATATTTGATTATATTCTATATTACAATTACAGTAAACAATAATCATCAATAAGCATATAGTTGGTTTATTGCACTAAGTCACTAAGTATGTTTTTGATATAGATTTACAATTAAATATGTTTTTGTGAATTTCGACTTTACTTATCCATACAAAAACACCATAAGTTCATGAAAAGGACACCTAGCCTTTTATATATAACGTGTAGTTACAACCGTACAGTTTTCTTGTTTCATAAAGAGAAAAATTTTCAAAGTTCTTAATTATTTTTGCTTCTTCCATGGTTCTACAACCCGCGAGGAGTCATGGCTGCCTGAAGTACGGTCCTCCATTCTTCTCGATTCCGAGCAGCCACCCTCCAGTCCCTGATCCCCAGAATGGTGCGTGCATCGTTATTTACTCCATCCAACTATCACAGCCTGATCAGCATCAGGCCATCCATGCCTTCTGGTGGTGTGAATTTCTTCTTTGAGGAGTCTCTTTGGGATTGAGTTGGCATTCATTCTGGCCACACGTCATGTGTCACTATGTCGCAGTCCTTGTACAGCTCAGATATTTCGGCGTTTGTCCTAATCTGCCAGGCTAGCTCATGGGCATCAAAAGTCGCTATGAAAATTCTTAATACCTTTCTTTCAAATCGGAGTAGTTGATTTTCCTGGGCTTTGGATACAGTCCAGCATTCAGATCCATATCTAAGCACTGGCTAATCAGGGTTTTGTATGACCGCAATTTAGTTGTGCGACACAATAATTTATTTTTCATCAATCGCAGGAGCCTGAAATAACATTCTAATTATTTGAGGCTATGAATATCATTTAATGACTTTTTGTAATGAACTGACGATATAGAATGTGTGTGTTTTTTAAAGTGTTGCAAATTATCTTTTAGTTGGTTTATACAACAGAAAACTTTGCAGAATTCAATAACGACAAGAGTTAATTTGTAAGAATTTAATTTAATTTTTCAGATAGATAGTTGGCTTGGAAATTGGGTTGATCAAACTAGCAACGGTTGGTCTAATAATGCCAAGGTCATAACAAAGTCCTGGCTTAACAAAGGTTTGAAACCTAGGTGTATTACCAGAGATCTGAAGTGGGGTGTACCTGTACCATTGAAGAATTTTGAACAAAAGGTAATGGACATAATAACTTATAAAAAAATTTATATTATAATAATTGTTAAAATTATTTGAATAAATATTAAATCTTAATATATTTTAATTTTAAGTCTCTGTACTAAATACATTTTTCAACCTGATTTTGGCCTCTATGCGATCCTTGAAAAAAATTTTGATGTATATATTTTTTTATAATAATAGAATTAGGAACATTTCGTTCATCACACAGCACAATAAGGAAGGTGATATATAAAATATTGGTTCATTACCACTTTTAATGACAAATTTTTGAAAAAACAATATTTTATATTTTTTAATTATAAACTAGTGGATGGGAAGGTACCCTCTAGTCCGCCTAATGGCAGACCAACTCCCATTTTAGAAAATCTATTATTACCAATAATAACATGGTAATTATTGTAAATTATTTTTTGCCACTTCTGTATTTTTCATTTTCTAGATTTTTTGTTTTATATCAAAATTTTCTTTCACACTTAATGGTTTTTGTTTAAGAGAGATATTCACACCAAGAAAGACAAAGATTGAATTTAAATTGAAAATTTCACTCTTTGTTAAGAATGACCATTTTTTTTTTTTTTGTGGCAATTATATTTCATATATGAGAAGGAATTAGTCGAGGGTGCGGTCAAAAAAATAAAAAAAATTAAAATATATAAATAATTTTAATTTTTGCCGACGTTTCGACCCACTTTGCAGGTCGTCTTCAGGGCGTTGGATGTGGCACTGCGGGAGGCGGTTCAAATTATTTCATATATTTATTTAAATGTGATTGATTGTTTGATATATAGAAATTTATAATTCTATTATAAATTGAAGGTTCTTAAAAAAGTTTGATGTACGGTTTGTTATTGATTCTACATTTTTTAGTATACTATAATGATTGTTTATAGGCCTAAATATAAGTCTCATTTATTGATTTGTCCCCCAGAATGGGAAAACATAACCATGTTTTATGAAAAAAAGTATCTCTAAACGTACTATTGTTCCTCTAATTACATTTAATATGACTTTAAGAATCACTTAAACACCATTTCATATAGGTACTAAGTTTCTTTATTTCTTCCGAAGTAATTATCGTAATATATACATAAAAAAAAATTCTTCGTGCTGAAGTTTCCCCATAAATTAAATCCTGGATCCGTTAGTGCTTTGATCATTTAGGAAGTCACTTTAGCTATCATTCCATTTTCAGTTGTTTCAAATAAAATAATGTTTTTTTTACTTTTCTTCCAATCTGATATTTGACGATACACATTTTTATATACTACCCTTAATTCTGTAATTAATTTCGATTATTATATATTTATTTTCATTTTAGGTATTCTATGTCTGGTTTGATGCACCCATTGGCTACATGAGTATGACCAAAGTCTATACTAAAGATTGGCTTAAATGGTGGAAAGTCGATCCCCAATGTGATGTTAAACTATACCAGTTTATGGCAAAAGATAACGTCCCTTTTCATGGTATAATGTTCCCAGCGACCTTATATGCTAGTAAAGGGAATTATGTAATGCTTAGCCATTTGATGGCAACAGGTAAATTCCTACTTTTCTGTTATAAAAATCAATTTTTTTAATGAATCGGCTATCTCTAAAAGCACTTTTATAAGGGTTTCCAGTACTTGCGTAAATCCCAGAACCAAATTGATCATGTTAGAAAGTTTAGGCTAATATTTTAGCAACGCTTCTTGTGTTCAGAAAACATGCTATTCTTAAAAACATGCTGTGTGTCCCACCATTGTTCTATTAAATTATGCTTACTGTGACTATTTTTTGTTATATTTTTTTTATAATAAAAATGTTGAGGTGGATCCGTTGACCAAGTTTTAAAATTGACTGAAATGATAAGGGACAAACCATCTCTGGACAACATTATATTGCTTCTGTAAATATTTTTATTACTTTCGATGTTTGCTTCCATTTGTAAAAAATGTCATTTAATCAATTTTTGAAATTTAAATTCATACCCATGCTTTATACAATCTCAGGAGTTGTGGGATCAAAAATTATTTTTATAGCAAACCAAAAATATATTAAAAAAATGGGTTCAATATCAAAGATTTAAGTAATTGAAAGGTGAAGTGGATAAAGGAGATTAGTACATTTTCTGGGAACATTGAATTATTGCTCATATTAAAGAAGTAAATGATGTATTATTAATATTTCGTCTTTCCATTCACACAAATTCAATGTTTGATCCATATTGGAGTTGATAGATATGCCTATTGATGATAAACTTCCTGAAGTATGCACAGGTAATTGAATTCAGTTTTATAAGAATTCAAAAATGTTATTTATCCCACTTTATCAATTTGTGATTCAGAATTGTCCAGTTTGGATTAATGAGATCGCACTATGTTTGGTTCTATAATTTCACAAAGTTTATTAATTGTTACTTATTTTGTTAGGAAGTTATTCAATTTATTCAGTGGTTGGCTCTAAAAACTTCCATGAACGCAAACAAATTTTTGTATTTATTAAATTTTACTATATAGTTAACGTTTCGGAAGCCATTTTCCCATCATCAGAACTATCTTTGGCATTCATTTATATAAATTTCTAAAATAAAAGTATTAATATAAAATAACTGTTACAAGATTGCTGATTTAATAGTTGTTAATGAGATTATTAGCTATATAATGGAAGTTTTTATTGCCAACCGCTGAATTTATTAATTATGTATTAATATTTTCCCTTATTTCTAATTGTAATGTTTTAGAGTACTTAAATTACGAGGATGGCAAATTTTCAAAATCTAGAGGAATAGGAGTTTTTGGGAATGATGCTAAAGAAACTGGCATTCCAAGTGATATATTTAGATTTTATTTATTGTACATAAGACCAGAATCACAAGACTCAAACTTTTCTTGGGCAGATTTTGCTATTAAAGTCAATACAGAACTTTTGAACAATGTTGGCAACTTCATAAACAGGTAATATATCTTAATATATACATAATAAGTATAATGATCTGGAATTTCGTACTTAGCGGTAAAAAAAGAATGATAATATTTAAAAAATGAATAAAATAAGAACATAATATTACTTTTTGTGTTTTCTAATTAGCTAATAAATAATTAATATCTATAGGTTCTTTTGTAATAAATAAAATAAAGATCATACATTATGGAAATAATCATAAAAAATAAGCAGTGTTTTAAAGAGGTACTATTTTATTACAATTTGTTTTTAAAAAAAATTGTGTATCTGTGGACGATTCCAACATTCTTTACTCTCCATTTTTATAACATTTACATATATTTGATACTTTACTTTTAAATTATACCTCCTTACATCAAACCACGTCCACTAATTTCATCAAACAACTGTTATTCCACCACCTACTTCATATTCAAACTTTGGCAACCATGAAAGAATTTTTAACTTATGTAATTACAATAGCTTACAAACTGTTGAATGGTAATCGCCATTTTATTTTTATTTTTTGTGTTAGTCTTATTTCTACAAGCCTGACTGATGTACATATTTCTTCAACTTGGTTATTTTCCTTAGAGAACTTCAGACTCAGAATAAAATTATTTTTCATTTTATTTAAAGAAATTTGCCGAAAGACTTAAAATAATTTATTTCAAAAAGATATTTTATTTTATTTTTTTACCATTGGCATTACAGATCTTGTTGATCTTTTGTCGCCTTAACAAGTCTACTCCATCTCTGCCTGTCTTGGGCTATTTCCTTTCAGTTCGCTCCGAGTTACATGCCTCGTCTTTCTTAATCTCCTTGCCTTCATAACATGAGGTATTAATTGACCAGTTTCCGTAAGCAGCTCTTTATTGGCCTTCTCATTTGTTATTACTCTGATCCCAGATCGCTCCGGTTATCATGCAGAGAATTATTCTCTCAAATGTTTCATAAAGATATTGACTCTATTTAAAAAAAAAAATGATGCAAAATAAATATGCATTTGAATATAAATCCAGGCCTTAAAAGTTATTGAATTAACTTTTAGCAGTAGTTGTTATAAAATTATTCTAAAAAATTTGAGTTCACAGATGCCGATAATTACAGACTTAATGCCAATGGTGCACGTTAATCCGCTCCCGAATATTTAGATGATCTGAACCCTGACTAAAGCTTAATTAAAAAACATGTAATGAAAAAAAAGGCATTAATAGAAATATATATATTTTTTTAATTATAACCTACCTTAAGTGTACACGATGTATTTAACATTAAAAAATCAGATAAGACATTTGTCATGTTATTAGTTACGACATTGTTTCAGGTCTTTGATGTTTGCAGATAAGTTTTATGCTGGCTGTATTCCACCAATCAGTGTCACCGAAGAAGAGAAGAAACTTTTAGGTTTGGTCAGAATGGAATTAAAAAGTTATATTTCCTCTTTGGACAAAGCTAAATTGAGGGAGGGTATTAAATATATCTTGAACATATCTAGGCATGGGAATCTTTATATACAATCTCACAAGCCATGGGAACTTGTGAAAGGATCAGACGATGAAAAGTAATTAAAATAAAACACAATTTAATTTTTATTAAATTGTAACAAACTTCATATTAACATGATTTTATTTTTTTAAACAAAAAAATTATTATAGGAGTCGAGCTGGGACTATTGTAGGTGTTGCTTGCAATATGGTTTGCTTGCTTACAAGCCTTCTGCAACCCTATATGCCAGATACCGTAAAGACGCTTTCTCAGCAATTGAATTTACCTATAGAATCATTTAGCATAGAAGCGGATTTCATTCCGTATCTGGATGCCGGTCACAAAATTGGAAAGGTAGATATACATTTTTTTTTTATTCAATTTTGCAGTAAATTATTCATAGTATTATTTAAATTGATGCTTCTATTAACAAAATGTTTTAAGGATGGAGAATGTTTCATACACAATATTTGAATAAAATCTTATGATTGATTGATTTATATTTGCTACATTCAGATTTCTCCTTATGATCCATTTACTGACAATACTCTCACTTAGTATTCAAAATGAATTATTTTAATAAAAATGCATATAATTTTTTTTTTGGCAAAAATAAGGATAAATGTTAATTATCTTCATATTCATTAGATAAATGACTCCTATTTAGATAAAAACAAGTTTTGCAATCAATATTAAAGCTTACTGAAACCACACAAAATATCATTAATTAAAAAATGCATTAAAACGTAACATCTTATTAATCTGTTATAAATGTTCATTGCTGTCTTATTTAGGATGCTAATATACTTCCATGCATATATTATGCTTTATCAGTCAGTATCGTTGATTTTCCTCAGTTTGAGTCAGACCATGTCCCAATAAAACGGAATATCTTAAAAAATATTTATCGTCATCCCTAAGGTTTTTTGCCAGCTCAATATTCACCATTAATTGGATGCAATGAACTTGAAGGAATCTATTCACATTGCAGGTGATTAGAGTATAATCAAGTCCAAGTTAAATGGCATTGGAGAATTGAAAGTTTTCAAACAAATTCATTTCCTTTTCGTTACGAAATGGAACCTAATTTTATTCTAAAATAATGATATAAAAATAATTTGATAAAAAAATTAATTTATTTTTATTTAAATAGAATTTTTTTCAATATAAATTCTTTTTCTAAAAAATATATTTTTATTTTCCATAGAACATAAGTCAACCAAGAGATAGTTCTCTTCCATTGGAAATATTAATAAGCACTGATTCCATTCAAAACCACCTTTAACTCATTTTTACAAATTGTGGGTTTATTGCAAAAAGTTAGTACAATTTTGTTGGGACTAAATTTTTAAGAATGTTTTTGTAAATTTCGAACTTATTTATCATTGAAAAAAAATACAGCAAGTATACTAAAATGACACGAACTCTTTATATATGAAATATAGTTTAAACAAGCGCACAATATTCTGATTTCACTAAGGAAAACTTCATCAAAGTTCTTTCTTATTTAAGATTATGAAATGTCACTTAATAACTTTTTGCGATAAAACTGATGATATTTTGTGAGATTTGATTGCATAAACAGTTACCAAGGGAGACCTCATATCTATTTCTGATCTGTAAGTTTTTTTATTTAAACTTCCCTGTATCTATATTTTAAGTTTTGAACCTCTTGCGATATTTATGCCTTAATTTACAATAATCTATTCTCTCAGCACAGTTCAGTTATAAAGTTTGAAATTTCTGTTTACCCCTGAATAAAAACTGTTAGATTTTCTCCGTCCTCTTTCCTATAATTTTTTGCTTTTCAAATACTTTTGGATGATGACAACTAAATCACTAATTTTATCATCTGTCTGTCATATTGATGGTTAGTTAATTTTATACAGCTTGATCAGTTATGATATTGTCAGTTTTATTAAATGAATTTGAGCTTTTCTTTTATTCAATACTTAAATTTTATTTTAGCCTTTCCCGTTATTTACGAAAATAGAACCAGCTGTAGCTGAATCTCTCAAGGCTAAATATGCAGGTAGGCAGAAGTCTGGTTCACCTGAGTCTGTCGCTCCATCAACGCCATCAAACGTACATACTTTGGCAAATGCAAATGATTACTTGAAAGCAATCAAAAGCTTAGAGGAAGCAGTTACTAAACAGGTAAATTTATATTATTTCTTATTTTACTTTTCATTAGCATATTAGTTGTAAAGAAAGTACTTTCATGCTTAGTAAGATTGGGGTATCTTAAATTCATTTTTCAGATTTGCATATAACTATAATAAAAAAAACTTCTTTATTTAAAGTTGTTTTGAATATACGGTTAATGCAATAATTTAATTAATTTTAATTGCTAATGCCATGTGTTTAGTCAATGGTTTACTTATTTATAGAACCTCAATTTGTGACAATTTTCGATAATAAGCATTTTTCTTAATCAGAGCAGAATGATAGTATTTTTGAAAAAAATGATTAGTTCATTCTAATAAAAATTAAGTGGCACATAGGTAGATTGTAAAATTCTATGTATAAGAATAATTATTCAATTACATTTTTAAATAAATTACATTGTCGGGTTGGTCACAAATGTGATCAAATAACATTTTTGCAAAGATCAGTTATTTTTTTATTTATTTGTTTCTGAACCAAATATTTTTTGGTCACTTTGCTATAGACAAAATCAATAATTACTTGTTAATCATTGTGTAGATAAATAACAAAGAACAATCTTATATTTATGAAAGTGTCAGTTGATCATGTTTATTTTTTAACCCTATGGTATAGTGTGAACTTTTATTTATGTAGAACATCCTATTTAATGCTCTGCAGACACTTCATAGTAAATCACAATAATGCCTATTCATCGCTCTTTTTCTTGTCTGCTGTTGTTCCTCAAGGTAGTATCCTAGGTCCTATCCTTTACAATGTTTATTCAGCTGATATTCCAACCCATTCTAACACTGTCATCACCACCTGTGCTGATGAGAGACACATGTGTCCTATCAGTTAATAATAACTCATTAATTGCATCCCAAACTCTTCAATCACACATCATGAGCCTGGTGTATGTGGTATGGTATAATGGTAAGAATGGTTTAAGACTCGAGAATTAAAATTAATTCCAATAAATTCCATCAAACCACCTTTACTTTTTATCGTAAACTTATGACTTCCTCTCCCACAGTATCCTTTAATAATACCCCACTTGTTCCCCCATCTCATTGCACACGACTTTGAGGCAACACGACACCATCAAATTCCTTTCGTATCAATCTTAACAATTCAAAATCAGTAATAAAATCCTCAATGCTCCTTACTTTGTCACAATTAAAATCGTCCATAAAGCCCATAATCTTGCATGTGTTTCCGACTTGGCCCAATCCAGATACCTACTCTTCTATGATAAACTTGAGAACTATCTGAATCCTCTCGTTTCTAATCTTGCTTCTATTTAGATCCCTGATAATTCTCCAAGCCAAATGACAATGGTTCAGCAAGTAATATTTATTGATACAAGTATAAATGAATGGAACCTGCCCTAAGTATTGTTATCATCTTTTGATTTCCTAAATACTCTGTTTTTCATAATATGTTAATGTTTTTATACAGGGAGATTTAGTTCGTAGTATGAAGGCTGCTGGAAAAAGCAAAGAAGAATTACAGCCAATGATAAGTGCACTTCTAGATATAAAGAAAAAACACACAGAAATGAAAACTGCGTATGAAAAACAGGCAAATGGTCTTCCTCTTCCTGAAAAAGAAAAGACACCAAATCCTGATTTAATTGCTTCTTTAGAAAAAGAAGTTGCTAATCAGGTATGTTACATTAATTAATAGATATTTTTATATTAAGTATATTAATTCTTTGATGCAACTGCAATTGTTACATTAATACGTGCAGTGTGCTAAGAGAAAGCTAATTTCAAGCTGTTTTTTTCACATTTCCTAGGCATATTTGCATTGCTTTTTCTGTTCATATAATGTTTTACGAGTGGGAAGCATTAAATATAACTTGCATTTCCATAAATTCATTTCATTTCTTGCTAAACTTCTTTTATATATACATTTTTTTAAATCAATGATAATTGTATAAAAATTCATTGTTTCTTGAATATAATTAATATTTGACATAATAGTGGCTTCATATCAGAGACTGACATCCGCCATTTTTAAAATGTTGAGAAAAAGCCAATTTGCGTAATACAGCTTCAATTTTAATCAATTCTAGCGATTTTTTTTTTCACAATTAAACTTGAACATTCTTATATAAAATTATAAGAAACAGTTTGAGCTGAACTTATAAAACAGAAATTGACTTTTTCTCCAAGTAATGAAAATGACAGATGTCCGTCTTAGATATGAAGCAACTTATATATTGTATTCATATTGCATTATTTGGCAGCTCTTATCACTTCTTGGTTAGGTCACAAGGAAATCATAAAATTTTGTTCTTGACATTTTCTTCCTTTTTTATTTACTAAAATGTCCATAATTACATAATAATGACCCTTGGCCTCCTGAGATATTCTTCTCCTCTTCTCTCGTCCAATTGCGAACTCCTAACCTCCTCGCGTCTCTCTCCACTTCATCCCTCCATCTGTTTCCCACCCTTCCTCTTTTCCTCTTCCAGCTCTAGTGCGCTTCCAATATTTCCCATTCTGACTACATGTCCTGCCCATTTCAGCCTACTTGCCTTTTATTACTAACTGATATAGTTAGTAATGCTTTGATTCTCTAATATATCCTCAATTTCATTGTTACTTTTGATTTTCCACCCACCATTAACACTTGTAGCTCCGTAAATCCTTCTTATTATTTTCCTTTCAAATATTTTTAGTTCATGGTAATCCTCTTGCGATAAACACCAGAGGATAAACCATTATAGCAGGTAATGTAGAAACCTGTTGCTTCAGGAAGGTTAATCATTTTCAGTAAAACAAAAGACTAGTTATAAAAAAACACTGTGTCAGGGAGCTGTTTACCTTCTCTGTTTCCACATTATAATTCATATTTGAAGTTCTAAGTATGAATTTTTTTAAAATTTTTGCAGGGAGAGAAAGTGAGAATTCTGAAGACTAGTGGTGCTGATAAAACAGTTTGGCAGCCTGAAGTTAATATTCTTCTAGATTTAAAGAAGAAATTAGCCGAAGCTACAGGAACCCCTGTCGTCCAGCCACAACCTGCTGGAAAAAAGAAAAAATCTAAAAAATGATTTTAATACTGACTTAATATTAAATATAACTTATTTATTTCTACCAACTTGTATTTCTCCATCCATACTTAAAACTACAAAAAAAAAAAAAAAAAAAAAATGCATTCTTTAGGATTGAGGTTTCGCTATGATTATAAATGAATCCCAATTTTATATGATTTAATCATTTGTTTGCAATTCATTCCAATACTTTTTCTATTATCTTCTTGGTGCCTTTCAGAGTCAAGGTCTGCCCACTTTTATCTATTATCTCAATCCATAGTTACAAATCAACAGAGGACGTGATGGCCAGTACATTGGGGCGTGGTCTCTAGATTGTCTGGTTCTGAACATTGTAGGTTCGATAACCACCTGGGTCAGTTAATATTTATTTGTCGGTGGCCCTGGGAATTGAATGAAACATGAACTACAGCAAGTATATGATTTTTCATATTCCACTATCATTTGCATTGCTTTTAAAAAGAAGTGAGCAATAAAATATCTTTGGAGAGAGAAAGGAGGTTCATGCGTCATTGACCTTAGGAGAGATGGGCACCTTTGTACCAGTATATATCATAAGTTCATTGTACTTCCACATTTATAAAATAATATAGCATTTCATATAATTATGATTAAAAATAAAAACTACTAATCATTTAATGGTTGGGTTTAATTTGAAATAAACAAAACTCATCATTTTAATTAGAGTGGTGACATCTATTAAACTGGTTAGGATTTAAAAAGGAGTCATTAGTAATATTTTAATTAATTTTACATTTGTTTCAGATTAATTATATCCTTTTTCTATAAAAAACATTTCACATTATTTTGATTATTGGAGTTTTACTTAATTTTTTATTAAAAATGCTTTATTCAAAAACTTAAAATAAAATTTTCTTTAAATTAAAACAGATGAAATATTTCTAATATAAAGTTAATAACTATTGATAATATAATCTTGTCTAGTTCCAATTAAGTTCTAAAAACGTGAAAATTATTATGTATTCTGATCATTATTTCGATTTATGGTGGTTTCAAATTAAGGAGGCATAAGACACTTGTAAGACTTGACAAGGAATATGGTAAGTAGCTAGAATTAGTACAAAAATATGGATTGAGGAATAAAGATCATCCAAATAATAAGTAAGAAAAAAACTTTGAAGATCATGGTTTAAACCCATTTAGTAAGAATTAACAATTGAGGCCTGATAGGTGATCATGTGACTAAAATTAATAGATTTAACAGATAGACTTGTTATTTATAAGAGTTCGACATGTGATCAAGTCAGGGATCATTTCTGGAGTTGAATCTGTTGGCAGGACAATTGTACGTATATTATTTAAGAAAAAACATTGTTAAAAATTTTGTCTTTTAAATCTCTTTGCCTATTTTGTTTTAATGTAAACTAACCATAGAAATGTATCAAATACAGAACTTAACACTAATCCAGAACTAATTACATACTTTTTCAGTACATCTTGTTCCCGTAATACTATGATAGGAATTAGTAAAAGGGGATGGTGGCATTGTGGAACACTTGTGAAAGAGGAAAAAAAGCAGGTGTGTCCATCCCTCCCCATGGTCGATTTTCACAGGAATTACCCTCACCACTCCCAGGATATTTTTTTACTGTTCTCTTTTTATAAAACAGTGCAAACAAAAGTAACATTTAAAAAATCATAGATTATATTCAATTATCCACCCTGCCATCTGTTCTATACTTCCCCTTGTCTTCTGGTTTGAAACTTTTCAATTAGAAATTCATAACACCGTCGAAATGTGCCTCCCACAAAAATTCAAAAGCCTGTCAACATGGGCCTTACTCAAAAATTTTAATAGTGCAACTTTCGCTATGAAACCTCTCTCGGCACCTCCGGAAAAAAGAATAGCGTGTTTCATGTTTTGCTCATATCTTCTAAACCTTTTAATGACAATGAGCGGAAAGGAAGGAGCTGCCTTGAGGACGGCATTATCTAACTGTTCTGTGTGCCTCTGTGACGGAATGGTTTTCATTACCTCTACTCATCACTTTTGCCGTTTTATTTAGAGTATTGTTCCAAACTTTTATATCTGCCTTATAAAAAGGCCTAGATATAGTTTAAAAATAGAATTCATCACTGTGCACTCCGTCATTTAAAGAGAAAGAGACAGACTCTTAACTCATCTAAGAGTTCAATGTCGCCCAGAGTTGGGTAAATGCTACTCGTGAAACCAAGTACAAAGTATTTTACTCAAATTGAATCACTATTGGGAATTCAATCATTTGAATATTCAGTTAATCATTTGACATGAACTAAAGTAGTAATTAAATTCTTTGGTTCTCAAAAAAAGATCATTATTTGAGTAAAATACTTGGTACTCAGTACTCAGATTAGCATTTGCCATCTCTGCCGTCGCCTGGCTCAAATCCCAGCTTGACTCGTATATGAGTCCACTGTTTTTAAAGGGTTAATAACACTACTTATTGACTCATAACTATTGTTCTATTAATTTTTAGTCACAAGGAAAATAGTTTCTTAAAACTTAGAAAAAAACAAGGTATTCCTTTTTGCCTATAACTCTAATCAGGCACTACTTTGAAATTGGATTTCTTGTTCATTTCGATCAATTTTGATATTGATACTTCATGACAATTATATAAAGCTAGTCATTACCATAGAGTACAATATTACTTTTTAAAATTTCTAGTGCTAGAAAGGTGATTTATATTATGATACACAAAGTCTGATATGTTAATACCATCCCTACTTGATTAAATTGAACATAAATCTTACTTGAATAAAATTAAAAAGTTTCATCACTATTTGAACTTATGCAGTTTCAATAAACTTTTACAGGTTTGTACTTCCAAATGTTTCATTATTTCATACTATCATTATAACTTTCCAGAATATTCTCCTACCTTTCACTTAGTAAAAATGAATTAAGTGAATTTTGTTAACACTTGTTTATTGTTAGCATTAATTGTAACACCACTTAGTTATAATTAGATGATGAAGTGCCTGCTCAGGAAGTTAAAAGTTCTATTCAATTAAGAAAAGTTGGTAGCTGGTAGATTAACAATTGTTTGTATTCCATCAACCATCTTCAACTTCACAACATTAACAGTATTTGCATGCAAAAACCTCTTGAAAAACAAAAATTGGGAGGTTGTATACCTATAGTGGTTTGTTTACAAGTGTTGCTGAAGTCCTTAATTTCTTTTTTAAGGACTTTAAGTTGTATTAAAAAGTATCAAATTAACAATTATTTAATTCAATAAATCGATTTTTAATTTTAATCCTTGACGATTTAATTTTTTCAAGACGAAATCAGAACCAGTAAATTATTGAGTTTTCAATTTTGCTATTTAAATTGAAAAATCCAGTGTTCGCCATTGCCTACCCCAATATATCGTTCGGTATATATGTTTTTATGACACTATTTTTTAAAAGTTCAGTTTAATGTTCATATATTTAATCAAACATATTTATATATTATATAAATGGTTTTAATGTTATGAATACGTAAAGTGTTAATATCTGACATTATAATAATAAAAAAATTATACCGCTTCTCATGACCGCTCTTGATCAAGTCATCACAGTTTTTTCCGTTAGAAGTTGTAACAATTTTTAGAAGATTTTAGAATATTTGCAACAGGTGCTTATTCAAGTAAGATTATCAAAATTTTTAGTTGTTTTAGTAGAAATGTTAATTATGTATCATATCTCATATTTTTTTATAGTTGTATGGAGTTTTTTAATAATTAAGCTAAAAAGATTGCATGCTATAGTATTGGTATACTATGAATTGTCCATTTTAATTTTAACTTATAACTTTGTTATATGTATGACTTTCTTAAATCAATTTATTCCTTTAAAAAAGTACTAACAGGTCCATAAAATAAAAAGTTCAAAGAATAAAGTTGTAGACATAAAGAAAAGTACTAAAAAAAATCACCACAAATTGATTCATCGAATTGAAGTTTTACTTATCTGTTTTATATAGTTTTCTTCTTTTCTTTTCTTACGAATTCATTAATAATTTTGGTAGTTTTAATGACGCTTATAACGTTTTTTTCTGTTTACAGAATACAGAAAAACCATGGTATTTATTCTTTCCTAAAGAAGTGAGCTATTTCTTTAGCTGTTTAACATAAATCTGATATAGATTTCATTTCGTCCTCGCTTTGGTTTAGGTTGGTCAAATTTGTCGTTAAATGTACAAGTATCACTTTCATTTTTTGGCCTTAAGACTTATCCTATTTAGCCAGTATATTACTATATCTCTTAATTAATTCTCTGATTCCGATTGATTGATTCATTCTTAATTAATTCTATGATTCCGAAGAAGCAGATATTTTATGTAAATTTATAATGTTTATATTAAATCTTAAAGTTCTATGTTAATGGTCTTGAATTTCGTAATGACTATATTAACTTGGGCTTATAACTGAAACTAATATAATAATTTAATAGTTTTATAGGCTTACAGAAGTTTTGTTGAATTTACAAGTTTATGAATCTCAAAAGAGCACGAGGGACTTAAATAGGTGCATTTATCCACTTTAAAAATTGTACTTATGTATGAGCATTATCTTTATTGATTGACTAGAGATAAGTAATATTATCATCGACAGTTCGCGACCCTAAACTAATTGGAATTCGTTCTTCGAATCTCTTGCATTGGAAGTCAATGCCTTGAATCTTCCAGGTTTTGCCATGCTAGGAAGCTTTCATTTTCGTATTAATCTTTTAACTTATTCACCACCTTCATTTTTTCTTCTATTTATGAATTCCGGTAAAAAAAATATTCGGAATTGTTCAACATCAAAACAACTACGTTGCAAAAGCTAGCAAAAATAAAATTATTCATGGGTTGAAATAAACCACGTATTTTTAATTTTATGAACTAGATTTTAAGTTTAATTTTTATTACATGCATACAGATGTAATGTATTAAATGGGAAAGCCAAAATTCGAATTCGTTCTTCGAATCTCTTGCATTGGAAGGCAATGCCTTGAATCTTCCAGGTTTTGCCATGCTAGGAAGCTTTCATTTTCGTATTAATCTTTTAACTT